TATTCCATGCACCCGTGCTCTACAAAGATGTACCATGATCTAAAGAAAGTCTACTGGTGGAATTATATGAAGAGGAATATATCGGACTTTATGGCAAGATGTCAAAATTGTCAACAAGTAAAGGCCAAATACCAAAGGCCTTGTGGGTTGGCACAGAACATAGAAATTTCGATGTGGAAATGGGAGATGATCCATATGGACTTTGTGGTAGGACTACCTCGCAATCCTCGCATGTTCGACTCTATTTGGGTTATTGTGGATTGACTCACGAAATCAGCACATACCGACACAACGTAACAGTATGTTTAGTTGTATATCAAGGAAATAGTCAGGCTGCATGACACTCCAATTTCCATCATTTCTGATCGGGGGCACAATTCACAACTATCTTTTGGAAGAAATTTCAGCAAGGGTTGGGTAGTCAGGTAAACCTTAGTATATCTTTCCATTCACAGACCGACGGGCAAGCCGAGCGAACTATTCAGACGGTTGAGTATATGTTGTGCTCTTGTGTTCTTGAGTTTAAGTGTAGTTGGGATGATGATGTGCCACTCATAGAATTTTTCTGCAATAGCAGTTACCATGCTAGCATTCAGATGGCACTGTTCGAGGATTTATACGGTAGGAAATGTAGATCTCCCATTGGATGGTTTGAGATTGGGGAAGTAAAGTTAATAGGGCCAGACTTCATGCATCAGGCTATGGATAAGGTTAATATCATTAAGGAGCAGTTGAAAACTACCCAGAGATGTGAGAAGTCCTATTCAGATATGCATCGTAGGGATTTGGAGTTCAAAGAGGATGATTGGGTAGTCTTGAAAGTATCCCCCATGAAGGTATAATGCGGTTTGGTAAAAAAGTGAAATTGAGTCCTAGATATGTCATACCGTACAAAATCATTTAGAGGATTGGTCATATGGCTTATAGTCTAGAACTACCTCAAGAGATTTCTTTAGTTCACCCGGTGTTTCATGTATCCATGTTGACAAAGGTGGTTGTTGATCCATCTCTCATTTTTCCAGTTGATACTATTGGATTTAATGAAGAATTTACTTATGAAGAAGTTCTAGTTGCAGTTCTTGAGGCAAGTTCAAAAGTTGACAAATAAGGAGATTGCCTCCGTGAGAGTGTCATGGCAATACCAACAAGTTGAAGAGGCCACCTGGGAGACCGAGGAAGAGATGTAGGAGAAGTATCCTAATTTATTTGAATAGCTATGTAATGGTGTCCATGATGTTAAAAGCTAGCTTTTTATAAAATATGTTTCCCCTGTATGGAATATGTAGAAGTTACTCCTTCATGGTAATGTACTGTTTAATGGCATAGAGGCTAGTGTGTTTTCCCTGTTGTTTTACGTTGTTATGTTTTGGTTTTATTGTTAGGACTGGTGTTGGGATTCTCTGGCTGGTGTATAGGCCCAATTACAGGGAGACTCATGCAAAACTTTTTAAAATTTAGGGAGTTAGTTAAAAATTTGGAACTATTGGTGTGTGTTATAGTAGTTGAGTCACATTGGATACTAATGGTGAATTTTAACCCTCATTCAAGGATGAATGATCGTAAGCGGGGAAGGATGTAAGGCCCCTAAAAAAATTTCACCTAAAAACCTAAGATTTCGTGGTGCCAAGTTAGATTTGGGTTTTGATGGTACGTAATTTTTGGGTTGAACAGTGCATTGGGTAGTTGAAACAAAATTTTGGAAGTGTAGGGCGTATCTGCGGTCCAATTGCGATCGCAGAACTGATTTGTGGACCGCATATCTGTCGCGAAATGAAGCAGAAAATTGAGATAATTTTAGGACAATTATGCGGTCCATTATGCGACCGCATAATCATTTCATGGGTTGCACAACCCATCACAGATCAAACATAAAAATTTCTAGAGGGGAGTTCTGCGGTGCATTATGCGACCATTGATCTGCCGTAGAGCGAAGCAGGAACGCGCAGTATATGGAGCCATTATGCAGACCGCAGAATTATTATGCGGTCACATATGCGACCGCAGATCTGCATCGAGTCTTCATCTTTCTAATTTTCCTAACCTGACCCTATTTCGATATATAGTTGTTGAAGACTATTTGTAAGGTAAAAATTTGACATTTTGAGAGAGGGGGGAGTGCTCTAGAGTGAAAGAGGGTTCCTAAACTCATTATTTCTCACTTCTTGCTCAAGGCTTGAATTAGCAAGGAAAACCTCACTAGGCTTTCATCCTAAAGGTAAAATTCTACTCTCTAGCCTTCAATTTCGTTATTTTACTGAAAATAAGTTATGAGAAAAGCAATGCTTGAGTGAGGGAGTTGTTCGTCAAGTGTGCATGTACTATCAAGGGATGATGGGAGATTGTTGAGCTTAATTGGGTAGACTATGGGTTGTTGGATGAAGGAAATACACCATAGGAGAACCTAGAAATCATAATGCTCACCTACTATATGATAAAATGCGCAAATGAGCAGGAACCATAAACTTCTTCCTAATTTGTGTTCAATTTTGCTATATCTCTAAATAGATCAAAGATGCTAGGATTCTGGAACTGTGTAGTGAATTAAGGAAAGCTGTATGTTGGCTAAACTCCTATATTAGATATTCTATATCTAAAAAAGAATTACAACATCGTTATTCTATATCATCCGGGGAAGGCTAATGTTGCGGCGCATGCTCTTAACTGAAAATCTATGGGTAGTTTAGCTCACTTGGAGGAATATCAAAGAACGTTGGCAACTGAGGTTCATCAAATGGCTACTTTGGGAGTTCGTCTTGCGTACTCTAGTGAATGAGGGATAATTGTGCAAAATAGGGTTGAATCATCGATCATTGTGGAAGTCAAGGAGAAACAGTACAATGACCCATTGTTGGGACAATTGACGGAGGGGATTCATAAACATAAGACCATGGCTTTTTCTCTTAGCATGGATGATGG